TTTGGTCCTAGTGGTGCCGCGGGGGGAGCGTGTTTGCGGGACTCCCGTGGGTGCCTTATAGCGGGTTTTCACTTTCGTGTTGATGCATCATCGGCCTTAGAGGCGGAAGCTCTCTCTCTTCAGGGCGCTTTGCAGTGGTGCTCTGCCTTTGCCCGGAGGCCATATGTGATTGAGAACGATTCCCTAGCTCTTGTTGCGTTGGTAAGTGCTGACGCGGCCCGGATCCCTTGGAGGATAACATGCGCGGTTCGTTTTGCCCGTTCTTGCATTCGCTCATGGGGTTCAGTGATCAAGCATGTCTATAGGGAAGCAAATCAGGTTGCAGATGCTCTTGCAGCAGCTGGTTTAGATTCTCAGGTTCCTAAACTTTATTCTACGGTTGGCTCTTTGCCTGTAAAAGCCAATTTGGCTTTTCTGTACGATCTGAGAAGCTTTGCCTCTCTTCGGGCTATTTGCCGTTAATAAACTCCTTTTAATTAAAAAAAAAATACTAACATAATACAAATACACTAATACACTAATTATATATACTAATTAACTAATTACAGTTAACTAATACAGTAATTTATAATTTTATATATGTAAACTGTAAACCAAAGCTAAATACTAAAATAATACTAATACACTAATTATATATACTAATAACGTGCAAATTACAGTTAAAGTATACACTAATATATATATGTAAAATTGTAAACTGTAAACCAAAACTAAATACTAATACACTAATTATTATACATACTAATACACTAATTATAGTTAACTATACTCTAATTATATATATATATATATATATATATATATATATATATATATATATATATATATATATATATATATATATATATAATGGCAAATTATTGTGTGGACCATGGTACATTTTTAATATACTAAATGTACATCATTTTTGTACTGAATGTACATTACTTTTGTACTAAATGTACATTATTTTCATACTGACGTACATTATTTTACAGTAGACAAAGTATGGTCCACACAATAATGATTGATATATAACTTGGCGAGCCCCCGCCAAGCTCGCCAAAATACGGGCCTAAAATATAAAAGCCCGCCCCGGCCTTTTCGCAGGGCGGGGTGGGCTAAGCCTATTTTGACGGCTCTACTGGTGAGTGAAATTCCTTCCAGGAAATACTCAATCTCCATGTCGAGATGATACTTGGGTTTTCCAAGTCTTTCATTTCAAAACTCTGTCTTTGGACATGAGCTAATATCATCAAATTATTTATGTGTTTTAATAATGATTAAGTCATCAAAATAGACTAAAATAACAAATAAATAACTACATTAGCAATTCTTTAATGAACACATAATAACACATATTATTTGTATTTGATTAAAATCAATTTTAGATCTCTACGTAAACCCTTGGCTACAAAAATCACTTTATATGACACCACCTCGTCATCCTTATTCCTTTTTCATACAAACACTCATTTGTAAGGTTAACATTATATGGTGTACATGTTATAAAGAGAATTTATTTTAGCGAGTTGAGCTATGCTTTATGGTTGCAGTATAGTTCTCAAACAAATAATTACTCGGAGTAACAAGTTATCGATCCACATGGAAGTGGGGCGTATCAAGCACTAGCTACTAATCTATTCTTGTGAAGCTAATCCTAATGAAAGACATGGATGATTGAGTGAAACTCATTTAAAAACAAAGTATATATGTAGGTCTGAGAAAACAGTAGACAGAGAATGAGATTCCTGGGATTCAAGTATTTAAGCACCTAGTGGCATTCTAATGTGCAATATTAAATCTGGGTTCAAACAAGTGTGAGAATGCAAATATGGGAAAGAGTTACTCCCGTAATCTCTAACCTAAGTGAATATTTGTTCCCGCGATATAAACACACAACAATGTAGAACAAGTATTCACAATAAATTCCTAACTACTACTTTCTCCCGATGTGCAATAACTAAGAATTAAACTCCCTAACATAATTGCCCTCTCCCAAGGTGCAACAGTTAAGTGTAATTGTGGGTACTCTCAATTATGCCTAACTCCCGTTGTGACATAAATGATATCTATGAAACAATCAAGTAATTCGGGCCCTAAATTATTAACAGCAACAATATAATCACAATTGCAACACAAGTATAAAACCCAAATAATAATATGTGTAAGACCGTGAGAACTAGGCACAAAGGTTCATAATACTTTTACCCAAGAATCTCTAAAGTAAATTAGCTACACATGGCTAATATGCAATACACAACAATAATAAAGAGTTTACAAATAATCAAAGTAAGTAGAATAATAAACCAAATAATCTCCCTAGCTTTTCTTCTTGCTTCCCAAGACAACTTGTAGCTCTCAATTCTCTTCTTTCTTGTCTCCAAAACACAGCATATATGTCGTCTAGGGTTGAGGAAGATGAGCTTTTATAGAGGGGATCAAGCGAAGGATGAAATAGGAAATTTCCGTGCAAAACATTCCAAAATATGCCCTGAATTCTCGACGTGTCGAGTTTGTCTATTTTTCCTCGCAAAACTTACTGGAATTTTTTGACGTGTCAAATCCATTTTTGACACGTCGAGAAGTTCGGAACACAAGTCGGGTATTCATAAGATTTGTAGCCCTTTGAGTCTTCTTTCCAATGGCGCAAGAATCTCCTAAATCGAACATTTCTAGAGTGAGATATGATCAAAAAACGAATTGTCGCCAATCTGTGCGAAAATGTTTACTTCGAAGCATTTTAGCCACCTCCTTAGTTTGCCCAAGTGATCAAGACCATTGAAGACACCACTTTTTAGCTCTCTTTGAAGCATTTTAGCCACCTCCTTAGCTTCAACTTGACTTTGATTTGGCTCCAAACTTGTCTTAGAACTTCCCTTGCTTTTGCAATTGATCTACAATGGTTCCAAAACACTAACAAACACCATAAAATATTCAAAACAAGTGTAAACCGTGTCTGAATGATGAAACAAGGGAATATGCAATTAAAGTAACAATTTAATGAACTTAATCCCAACAAATATACTCAAACTAACATGAGAAACATGTACAATTAAGCTCACATCACTTTAATTGTTCTGTTATATATATGTTAAATAGTCATGACACTTCTAGTGCCTAGCTCCAGATCCATACCAAAATATGAGCAATTATATAGGCAATTATGTTGTCGACAACTATGATATTTTTATAAATTTCACACACACACACACACACACACACACACACACACACACACACACACACACACACACACACACACACACACATATATATATATATATATATATATATATATATATATATATATATATATATATATATGTTCATTGTAATTTCTATGTCAACCAGATTTTAGACATATTTATATCTAATCATTCCACATCCCCAATATTGTGATTATTTGGTGCACCTATAAATTAACTAAGGTTTTTTTTTTTTCGCATTCTGGATGAACATCTTCAAGATATAATTCTTTAAGATTTTCAAGCTAAGAGTAACATTGTTTCTTTACTAGATCTAGTATTATGATTCTTATTTCTTACACTGAAAGATCCCATACACTTCTGGTGTGAAAGAGCATCAATAAATATATTCGGTCCATGTTGGGGAAGGTATATGGGACCTAGTCACTCTTTTATAATTAGTATGATCAATAGATATATTTGGCATATAATTTGCTAAAGTCACAAATAGATGATCTAATGAACTTCCAGTTCAGTCTAACTAGTACGTGAATTTAAATAATGAAGATTTTTTCATTTTATAGAACTTCTCGGCATTTCATTAAATTTGGGCTCATATCTCCCACTAATGTCGTGAACTGATCTTCATAAAGTATGTAGTTAGTGTATCTATTGATTCGCTATCATGGTCTCTAGGTATTTAGACAACGGACGGAGGTTTATAACCAACAAGTATACCAAGTTTTATTAGATAGCCCCTAAAGATACACATGATGGTGACATATGAATATAGACTACACACTAATCGTAAAAACGCAGATTGAAAAATGTTTAATTCTAGCACGTACTAGATGTATGGGGGAATAATCACAATATGCAGTAGGTCAGATTTAGAGTATGTCACATTGGATGTCCCCAAAATTAAAACAAATAACCTAGAAATTCTCATACACATATGCTTCATACATTATTCATGTGAATAAAGAGGCTACTAATTGACATATATATGATGTCACCAACAAGATTAATAAAATCTGACTCATCATAACTGGCCCAAAGTGACCCATTGCTCATGTCATAATTTAAAAGAATTTGGGTCTTTAAAAATTGAAAGGATATTGCAACATATGAAGTACTCAAAAGAATATGCAATCATATATGTCCAAATAGAGAAATCATACACATTAAATAATAACCCCACTCAACAATCATGTGGGGATTAAATACCAAATAAGTGCATAGATAGTGAGATCGTTCAAGTTTTCTAAAATTCATTTTCTCAATTTATGAGAAATCATCATCAAATATTCACAAATTTATTTGTTTAGCATGGTGTGATTCGCTTCTAGCTTTCAAGCCGATGGCATTTAAAATAGTAATGTCATGTATCTCTTTGTGACATGATCATAAAATATTTGTGATGGAATATCATAACACTGAATATTAAAATTTAAGACTTCATTAATGAGTCATTAGTCATCCAAAGATTAATCCTCGTTTGAGGTCTTCCAGACCTTATTAGAAAAATAGTCCAATAACCAAACACATTGTCAAGTAAGGAAGGTTTAGAACTCAGAGAGTATATTCCCACAAAAACTAAGGTTTTGATATCTTACAAAGATCAATGATACTCAAAATACTTAGTATAATTTTGTCATATACTACTACTGGAATACAATGTGACTATCAAGGACGGAGGGAACGTGGGGGCAGTGGGGACAGCTGCCCCCACTGCCAAAAATTATACAGCCCCAAAACGACGTCGTTTTGGGGCTGTATTATATATATATATATTTTTTTTATTTTGCTTATTTTCCAGTTCCTCAGCCGAAAGCAGCTCTTCGCGTCGCTTCTCTGGCTCTCCACAAGACCACAACTACCGACTCTAACAATTGCTTAAACGCTTAGTGCTTCTCCGTCCTTGACTACCGGCGTCTGGCTCACTGCCTCCGGTCAGCAGGAACACCGGCGTCCGGCCAAGCTGCAACCGCGGCTCTCATCTCCTCTCCGTAATCAGTAATCAGGTTTGTATTTTTGCCCTAATTCTACTAATTTTATTTTAATCAATTTAATGTATGTGCTTTGTTGAATACTTGAATACTTGAATATATGAATTTGTTTATGAATTATCAATCATGATTTATTGGTTTATTCTTCCCAAATTGATTTATGAATGTGAGTTAGAGGCTTTGAGTATTGATTGGTTGTTCACTTGTTCGTACAGTCTGTCCAGACTCCAGATGATTATTTTTCTATAAATATTAATTTCTTTATTGGTTGTAGGCTTGTAGCATGAGAAAGGGAAAAGTTGGCTTTTTAAAATTTGTTTAATGTTTGCCTTTGTTTTCTCAATTTCCTTGCTGTAAAAACTATGACCCTCTGATCATGTTCAAGTCCCTTTTGGGTTCTGCATTTAGTTGTGTACTCAATTACTCATTGAAGTTATTTTGATAGTGTTAGATGCTCCCAAGGCGGAGGAAATGGAAGTCCAATCAAGATAACAAGTCTTCATAATCTGTACGAGAAGCGTGTGGCCGTGTTACATATCTAATTCCATTGATTGAGAGAGTGTCAAAGGCGTTACCAGCAATCTTGCGGTAAAGTGCTTCCTTGCTAATTTCTTTGACATCAACTTCCCCTCTTCCATTATTGATTTATGAATGTGAGTTTGAGACTTTGAGCAGTTTGCGGGCAGTATGGTAGAAAGCTAAAAATGCATAATTAATTTATCTTTAATGCTTAATGTCTTATTGGTTATTGGTAATGCTTTTATTCTTTTAGACTTGCTAAGTGAGGCAGTGAGAATCTGCATAATTTATCCTTAATGCTTAATGTCTTATTGGGGTAGTGCTTAATGTCTTTTAAACTTGCTAAGTGAGGCAGTGAGAATCTGCATAATTTATCCTTAATGCTTAATGCCTTATTGAGTTATTGGTAATGCTTTTATTCCTTTAGACTTGCTTAGTGAGGCAGTGATTAATTTTTCTAATTTTCTGAGGTAGTGAGACTTGCTTAAGCTAAGAATGTATAATAATTTTTCTAATTTTGTTCTTTTTTCTAATTTTTCTAAATCTTGGTTCAGTTATGGAAAAATTTTTCAAAAGAAAATCAACTTTTGGGGATTCATCTAGTCAAAGTAGTCGCGAAGTGTCAAGTACAAGGCCCCGTATTGAAGTTAACATAGATGAACTTGAAGTTGATCCGAGTAAAAGGAAAAATATATATGAATATCATATCAATGATAGAGATATTGTGCGGAGACGATATCTACAAATGGGTCCTTGTCAACCAAAAAATCATGTATTTCTGCTATGAAGTTAATCAAGACATCTTTACGCAACCGGATGAGTGATGATTTATTACATGATTGCTTAGTGCCGTATGTTGAAAAAGATATTTTTGATCAAGTTTCAAATGAAGCAATTCTACAGCGATTTCAAAATATGAGAGAGCGTAGAGGAGTATTACCTCGTAGTTTATCATAAACTTTGTATGGTAATTTATAATGTATTTTGATTTTAACAATTGTATTCGTATTTGATATTTTGTATTTGAACCTTGTATTTGAACATTTTTAAGTTTACGTTGTCTTTGCTTCTTCACCCCCACTCAACAAAAATCCTGGCTCCGTCCCTGGTGACTATAATAGAAGACAATGAGACTCACATTATTTGATATGATTTTGGTCATGTATTTCTACTAGAGTACAACAGATTCATGCTCCATCTGAAAAGTAACATCTGAAAAGTAAAATTAGGGAAGTAAAATCCTAGAAGTAAACTTCGATAATTAACTTTCTGGATGACCGATAATTAATTGCTCGGATCATACATTCTATGCATTGAGGGATTATAATAATTTGTTGATCATAGCTATCCTTTAGGGATTGACTTATGGTTTTAGGATCTTTTTCAATCAAATATTCATAATCGAGGGCTTCGGCAAAGCTAAGGGGTGACAAATAAAAATTAGTGCCCTTAGTTTATCTTCCAGGCAACACTATGTTAAAAATTAGGCACTATCATCTTTGTTTAAATGCTCAGATAGGAGGAATTGTCCTAGTCACATATTCCGGTTGTTAATAAAATAGATCATTGAGAAAAAGACTTTACAAAAGTAAATATCTTTTACTCCCCCGGATTGTTTTTATTTATGGAACAATTCAGTAGTTCAAGATCTAGTTCAATAGTCGTCTCTTAAATTGTATCAAAGTTAGATTGGGTCTATACTTATTCTTAGACATCGTTCAAAGATCAGACATGTGACACCCCCTTTTTCTAAAATCTAAAACCCGATATAATCAATCTTAAACATGATAAATCAAAGGTAGATTAAGTAAACTAAGATAATAATCCAAAGCAATAAACTAAAGGATAGTCACCGCCATAGTAACCCACTCACGGTAACTGCACAGGCTAACAAAAAACTATAGAACTAGAGTCAAAGCTCAACAAAACCATAAAACAAGGGGAACAACCCCCGGTGTCTATGCACCATCAAAACAAGTGGTCCACCTACAACCCAAAACAATAACTACTACAGGAGAATGGTACTGAGCTAATGACTACCAAAGCTAGTACTACGCACTACTCTATCACGTGCGCTCTCAAGTACTGGGTCCACCTGAAAGGGGTTATAAAAGCACATAGGAGAAAATAAACTCGTTAGCAAATAATGCTAAGTATAAAGCCACTCGACCCTGTAAAGTACTATAGATATAGGTTAGAAAACGTTTTGCAATCATACACAAATCTCAAGTATGAAGATAAGAAATCAAGACACTTAGTCAACGAATCTCAATCGATATACTAGTATACTTCTATATGCTCAACAGCCTATAATCTCATATAAACAGGCTTTAACTCATAACTCATACTTGTGCACATTCACATACTGTAAACACATATAAACCATCTATATTCTACTATGCACTTCTCACAATCATGATGATACTTTCAAGATAGATAATGAAATGACTGATGCTTGACAAGTAAAGTCATGCTTTCATGCTAATACTTACACCACGAATGACACTATACTCTCAAATACTCAAGATGAGACTTATACTATGACATGATATGAATAAGGATATGATGCTATAAATACATATAATTGTACTCTCACTGTTTAAAAAAAATACTTTTCTGTGGAGGATCTCTGTTGAGTCACTTGACTCACTTTTCTCTTCTTTCTTTCTTTCTTTCTTAAACCCGTGGGGGGCGGGGGGGGGGGGGGGGGAGGGGGGCGTAGGAACTTCACTAATCGTGAATGGAGCTATCTGGGCTCGGGAATCTAGCCGGCCTAATACTCATCTCATCCACAGAACCGATACTCGTGGTTCTTATAACTGTGTGGAATCAGGTAACGTACTTACAGTGTGCACACCCCCTAACTAGGATTCCAAGCCTAGTGGTTAGTATCGAACCTAGCAACTCGGGAATATCGACCAAGTTACTTCAAAAAATAAACGGCCGATCCTCTATGACCATTTCTTTTTCTTTTTCATAACTTTTTTCTTTCTCTGTTTTGTTGGTGACTTTACCAATCTTTTCTCTGTTCATCCAAAAGGACATAGTCCTAACGGGAGCCTCCAAAACATAGATTTTCCTCACTTTATATAATAGCATATTTATCACATGCAACTTCTTTTTTCTCATGTTAGTAATCTAGATATCATGCAAGCTTCTCAATGCACATATATCTCATATAACTTCTCTTTCTCATATTGGAAATTTATTTATCATGCATGCTTCCCAATGCACATATAGATATAGATTTTTCAAAATAGATATAAGGTTTTGAAAATAACTTAGGCCTCACTTTGAGCCATTACTGCACTTAAGCTTTGAATATGTTAAAAATGTTCTTATACTGTAAAATTTGGAAATACACTGCCTTATGCATGCAATTTCAATAAACTCAACAAATCTTCTATTCAAGGGCTAAACAAGCAAATAACACAATTACTCAAACATTCTTTTAATCAGATGTTAGGTGTAACACCCCGTGTTACGGCCTTTAATCACGAATTAATTATTTAATTAATCCCGTTAATAATAATTAAAAAGGATTTAATTTGGTTAGGATTCCCTTTAATTAATTAATATGGTCCACCATGGACCATGGACCCTTATCCCTAAACCAAGCCCTTAGTCCTATAAGGAAAAGAATTAGTAAACCCATACCATTCAGACCCTAATTAGAACTCTTAGATATATATATATATAAGGACATAGGAGGCACCTAGAAGTCACACCACAATAGATATCACCACACAAGAATTCCCAAGGGACTCCCCACCACCAAGCCTAGGGAGATCAAACGGATGGAAATCTTAGGGAAGAACCTTAATAGCCAAGGGAGGATTAATTAAGGCTAAGAGGTAACTCAGGTCTCAACAAAACCTATTTTCTTTGCTATGATCCCCTTCTTTGGCTCCCTCTATATACTTGTGTCTTGATGAATTTCTTTATGATATTTGTGATATAATCTTGATTGATTGATGCGATGATTTTATGTGTGATCTTGATGATCTTGATGATAAAAAGATGTTCTTGATATTTATGTGATGATTCATGATGAAATCTTGATATTTCTTGATGATAGAGATAAAATATGATTTTAGTGAATTGGATGGGATTAGGCCCTAGGATGGTTTGGGAATTTGTATTGTGATGTTCTTGATTTATATTTGGGTGGGAATTCGCATGTTCGGGTGTTTTTCGTGTCTAGAAGTCATGTTAGGATGTGTTCAATATGATTCTTGCCTTCGATCCATTAATTGCCAATGTGGTGTCGTTAATTGCGTTTAAAAGTGTCTAAGCATGGTTTCGGGTTCCACAAAGGATCCCGGGACGTTTATTGAGTTAAAGAGTCAGTGGAGGGTAGGTGGGGGTAGGGGTACCCGCCACCTACCCGCTGCCCGAGATTTACCGCCAGGCGGCGGGCAGATGTTTGCCCGCCGGCCATCCGCTGCCCGGAAGTTCATCACCCGCGGGCAGCCGGCGGGTAACCCTCCACCCACCGGCTACCCCCTAGTCCGTTACCCATCCTGGGTCCTCGGCTTCCCCGTTTAATGTTCCCCATTCCCCGTGGTGTCTCAATGGACCCCGTTTGTCGTGCTTGAGTCTAGTTTGATGTTTCGGGTGACATTCGTAGGATAAAAGAGTCTTAGGAATTGCATGCTAGTGAATTGGTGACCCGTTGGCCTTGGAGAAGAATGCATGAACCCCTTAGGACGACTCCTAGTATGTGAATGATGACACGTAAGTTTATTTATACGTCTCACATTCCCAATGTGCTATTATGTGCTACGATGTGTTATGTGATGCATGATTCCCCAATTTGGTTGCGATCAAATTTGCTATACGGGCAGTTGGATGGGTTGAGAACCATACTAACTGTTAACCAGGCCGGTTGCGATCGGTCAGGTATATAAATATTATATAGGGCTACAGTCCACTGTTTGGTTGCGATCAAAGGTTGTACATGAGCTGCGGTTCATTTTCCTGGCTGCGGTCAGTGATTCACTTCTTGGGCTACAGCCCACGGGCCTCGTGTGCAGATGGTCCACCGACTGGACCCGCCAGCGGTGTGTAGGGTCTCCAGCCTGAGGAAGACCATAGCCCACCGAATGAGTGATCAGGCGGTGTGTAGGGCTATGGTTGGCTACGATCCACCGAGTGAAGGGCCAGCGGTGTGTAAGGTCGTAGCCTCAGAGGATCTTCGCCCACCGACTGACTCCCTCAGTGGTGTGTAGGGCTTGATTCGCTACGATCCACCGACAGGGTCGTAGTCCCCATAAGAGGATCGCAGTCCACCGACTGAGCGCGTCAGCGGTGTGTAGGGCTGTGATCCGCCGTCGAGCTTTCAGCGGTCCGTACAGTTGGTTGCGATCAACCCCTTCATGCTGCGGTATGAGGTAGGTGCTGCGGGGCCATGTTAGTGCTATACGCACTAACCCGCATGTTCGGGGCATGTGATTGGTCCCGTTGCGCCACCAAAGTGTGCTAATGTGATTTGAATGATGACTAGAATGACGAAGAATGATGATTGAATAATGATGTGGATGGTTTGAAAGTGAACTATGACCTTAAATATGTATTCATTACGATGTTGTCCCTATATAACTGTTTATCATGATTGAATGTGCTTACCCCTACTTGCAGAGTCTATCCCTGATTTTAAAGCTAGAGTCCCCTAAGTATAACTCTTCCTGCTTCAAAATTGTTTTCGTATATCTATATATATATATATCTACCTATATTGTATTTCAACGCGTTGGAGTGGGTTACCAGCATCATTCGCTGAACAAATATATTTGGCTTTCAGGCACAGATGAGTAGGCACCGGAGCGCGCTAGAGATCCGGAGCGTAGACTAGTTAGTTTCCCTTTCGGCCTGCGTGCCATGATTATGTATTGACATTGCTTTGAGGTTGTTTAGTTAGTTTAGCCTGTGCATCTGAGTTTTCCAACTCAGATGTGGCATAGCACCCTGAACTCTTATGTTAATATTGGGTTTTAATGAGAATTCACCTTTATTATATAAGCTTTAAAAGTTTCAAAATTTC